TTATCATTTTTAAAGTCAGAAACACCAAAGTTTATGACGAAATGTTTGCATTCAATTTGACATAATTTATTGAATACATTATAATCCGGTTTCACAACACATTCATTGAATGTATTATTAAGTATTAATTGACTTTCACTTTCAAATGCATGTGAACTCCAGTAGTGATTGTTTCCACACTTTTTGCGCTCAATTTGTTTCATCACTTCTAACATACAGTCGGCTCTGGATTTGTGGCCAACACTTGCCATACGATTGCTCTCATAGTCGTAACAGTCTGTCCGATAGGGTCGGGACAACAGTAGCTGTAAATCTGTCTCAATATTAATGCCATAAATGACAGAATGCTTGTCCATTCTCAACATTTTAGTGAAATGTGAGGGACTGTATGGTAAATGTAGGCCAACCGTAACTCCATGCATATTATTCAACAATATGATCACTATACCATCACTTGTATTACTATAATCATTTAAAAACGTGAAACATATATGTGAAGGGTACTTATGTCTTACATATACCGGTGATATTTGTGTGCAGTTTTGTGTCCCTATTTCACAATTCATGCGAATATATTGAAAGTATTGACGAATTGTTTTATTTTTATAAACAGAATATTCTTTATTCACGCAAACAGTGACCGAAAGGTTTAGACTATAATTACCAGAATTGCGGTCAAATTTCAGGTCAGTGTTGACTTCGTACTCCAAATAATTGATTGTTTGGTCATATATTTGGTACACTGATATCATTAATAACTTAAATAATAGTTTATAATTAAAATAATATTTTATAAATAAATTCATATTAAAACAATGTCCAAAAACTGATTTGTAGGCTTGATGAATTGCTGTCTACATTATACTTTTAAATACTACACCAAAAATGTTATCATACTTTTAAATACTCTGTAATTCGTGTAAATAATTGAAAATTTATTGCAATATTGCAAACATTTTGTGAGTATTATTAATAATTACTAATATGTATTACATTAAGGCTATTTCTATATTATTTAGAAGTTTATAATATAATTAAATATTATTTGATTATCATTAAAATGAAAAAACATTCAAACATATATAGTAATATTAATGAAATGTAATATTAAGTAGCAACTACTTACTAGCTTAGATTGTATAAAATTAATATAGATTTTGAAGTCAAGGGTTTTAGAAAGTATTTTATAATAACATTGAGTTTTGATAATTAAAATATTTATTCCTTTATTTATCTCATAATATAACAAATAATGTTATTCACAAATATTTCTCATAAATCCGTTTAATACTTAACAAAAATGTTCACAAACTTTTTGTCATATATTCATTACCTGTTATATTAACAGATCCTGTTCATTATTATTTTATTATATATTATAACACTTTTCAGTACAACGTATTGAATTTGAATGTCGGGTATGAAAACCGAGTCCTTAACCCAGCCTTAAGGCTCATATAATAGCCCACAATAGCACTGATAAGTTATTTGATCAATGATATTTTAATATAAATATATAAATAATCAGTTAATTGTTAATCAAAGTGAATATTTTGTACGTTTGTAAATATAATAAATTATTTAATATTAAACAAAGTTTCCATGGCAATGTTAACAGTACAGTATTTCATATTAGCCCTCTTTTGTTAAAAATGAATAGAAATCCAGGTCATTATTATTCAATTGTGTAAATCTAATTGTATGTATATGTTGTGTAACATACCTGTCATTATCCGTGATATTAATAATAGACATTTCGGTTGACGTATAGCAACAGATGTAGTGAAATAATACACAAGTATACGAGTGACTGAATCACTGTATAAATACATGTATTTCTAAATAATACACAAAAAAGCGATAAAAATATAGTAATTTTTCAGTCATATACTAGTTTTTATAAAATCATTTTCCTAATTAAAATTGTATTTCAATGTACGGTATATGAAAGCAATGTATAAACCATTTGCGAGTACTATCATGAGTACACTATTAGACAATAATTGGTGTAATAATAAGTCATTTAAAAATGACAAACTTTTCCAACCTATTGATGACATTAGTGTATGTTTTGGGATTCCTATACCAGACAGACGTCCGCAATAATCGCTCAATACATGAGCGGATCGTAGATATGGATCCAGTCTTGAGTTTTTGCAGTCATTTAAACAACGCGTGAAGAGACTTGAAAGTAGACCTGAATTATGTGGGAACTCATATCAAACATAATTATCTGTGGTTTCCGGACATTATCTACGATATGGACTCATATTCGCTGTACATATCAATGCATTCACTGAATATTATTCCGGATCTAATAAATGGTAAGTATTTCATACAATTAGTCATAAGATATCGATATCTGGTAACCTATTCTCAGATCAATACCCAATTATTGCCACCAATTTAAGACACAAATTAATGAATGTATGGAAAGTAGGCCCAGTAATAGGCTATCAATGTATACAGTTTGACACATTTCTGGTAATTGTATTAATTTCCCTTGTTAAAAAGTCTATTCATAGGTATAAACAACGTCTCGTCTACTAAAACATTACCTTTCTTTAAAATTCAACATAAAACTCATCAACATTTTACAAATTATGTAACCGGGTAGACTAACTCATTAATTTATAATTTAAAATTATTTCGATGCAAAAGTATAGATAGTTTTTATATTGAATTTTATGAAAAGTAATGTTTTAGTAAATGAGACGTTGTTTGTGCCTATGAATGGACTTTTTAAACAGGGTTTCAACGAAATAGTAGAGTAGGGCTGGGAGTCTAGACTAATGCATAACACTTCTATGGGAATGTTGTGTTGTCGTAGGTTTTTGGTGATCATTGACTTATGTAATATTGATTTGCACTCAAATGCACCAAAAAATTATTGCCATCCTGCACAATGTAATAATGTAATCGCTTGTTTTATAAACTTCACTTATAAACTTGCAATCAAGATCATTATTGGCACATTTCTAAATGTTAATAGTTAAAATTGATTTTACTTAAATTAACAATTACTTTTATTCAGCTTATTAAAACAGTTAACTAGTTTATTATGTTAAATATATTAATATATTAGGGTGTTTATATATAATACATTTAAAGTGTTATATGTTAATAAATTAAAATAATGTTTATATTAAACCCTTGGTTTTATATAAATGCACAAATTGAATGAAATATTAATATTTAACTATATTTTTTATATTTGAATATTACTTATACTGGAAACCAAAATATTTTGAGTCGAAAACTGAACTAAATTTGAAAATATTGTTAAAACATTTTGAGGGAGAAATAAATTAAAATGGCTATACAGTTTCTACAACAATGATAATTTTGTCCATTTATATATGGAGTCGAGCAGATATTTAATATTAAATGACACTGTTAGTTTTGCAACTACTGTCAATATTAAGGACAATAATATACTACTTATTAGATTTAGTGAAATTTTAATAAAATACAGAAATAGTTGCGAACGATACATACAATTGTGTGCATCCCATAAGACTCGGGCAGTGTATAGTGTATAGCATTAAAGCATATATTAAGCGAATTAATTATAGGGATGACAGGGAAAGACATATAAATATGAGAACCGATTGCATCAGTCTTTGTATCGTAAATGCCATCAAAACTAAGTGTGCAATCGATTGCGTGTTTTAAAGGGAAAGCCGTGAATATAAGGCTATTATTAACGGAGAAGACAACAACTGTCACAACAAAACCCAAGAGTTGGCACAACTTTATGACACTATTTATGATAAGATCCCCACAAATGGGATCAACTCTTTGCCTATATATTAAGTTTACTAGTTGCGAATATTAATCAGGGTGCTCTCATTCCTGTGTATATTAATTACTATAATTGCTAAATTCATCGGAAAAATGTTAACTTTATTTAATTTACTAAATTCATGACCTTATGGATGGACGCGTTGGACAACTTCCGCGAGAACTGGAGGCGAGAGTTGGCGAGCGATAAGAACTGCAATCAATTGAGGCATCAATTGTGACCACTCTTTCAGACCATCTCTTCAATCCATGTCTTGTGTATCATATGATGTCATTCCACGCAATAGTATCTAATATACCGGTAATCATATCAATAGCAGTGAACACCTAATCATAACTTCAAGTATTTATTACATAATCTTTAAGTTAGTCAACAAATGGCAGTATTTTTGAGAGATTTAAACACTTTTCTAAACATAAAACTAAATTAACTTAAATTCATATGAAGTGGATATGAGTTAATATCAGGAATGACCTATTAATGAATCGCACCACCATTTTGTATGGTAGTAATCCAGAGTAATGAAAAAGTATTCATTCAAAACTTAGTCTTTATTTCAAAGCCTTAACTTAAGGTATGTTTGTATTGAAAACAATCGATATTTCAATAATTATTTGTTTTATTGTGAAAGATATGAAAATATAATACTTTCGTATATAACATCAAATCATTTAAATAGTAATTACTATTGATTTGCTTAAAATTAACATTAAATAACGTTTCAGTAGAAATATTATTAGGATAATTAATCCGAATATTAAAATGCAAATATTAATCCGGGTGCCATTCATTCCGGTGTATATACAGTGAATTGCTATACTGTTTGAAATACTCATCAAAAAATTGTAATAATTTTTTTATTACATTATTTGATTTAGTAAAATACATTAATTCATTGTTGTTGATTATATTTTAAAATAAATATATAACAAAAACATGTGACATATACTGGATAATAGTATCTATACTAGTACAGTAACTATGAATAACTATAAACACAGTTCAGTTCTATTGAATTAAATTAAATTAAGTGAATATTCTCTAACTTTACTTCAATTCTTTCATATTTAGCATTAAAATATTGCGCAAAAAACTTGTAATCATTTTGTTGAATGAGATTTAGTGTGGAATCATATGTGGGATCAATTTTGAGACAATTCTCATGAATAGACCATAAGTTATATTCCGATAATACTTGTGAACACTCGGGTCGAGTGCTATAAATGGGAACACACATCGAGTCTATGTTTTGATCCAATTTTATGAATTTGTCGTATATTTCATATCCCGAGTAAATATTCAACTCTACAGGGGAACTGTAATCAAGGATTTTAATACATTTTAAAGAATTAAGTCATTAAATTAAATATCAAAATAATTACTTAGAATCATTCAAATTAAATAATTTGTGTGCAATGATTGCCAGGCTATAAATATCTGCTTTGGGTGTATATTTAGTTTGCAGTCTAACTTCCGGTGCCATGTATTTAAGGGTTCCCACTCCTGTAGTATGACTTCCAGAAGACCTGGTGTGCAGTGACGCCAACCCAAAATCAGCCACTTTTAAATATCTGCCGTTCCTTACAGTCTTCGTCACTAATATATTGTCGGGTTTAAGGTCTCTATGAATGACCGGAGGATTCAATTCATGTAAATATTGAACGCATTCTAAGATCTCTTTGAATATATNCTATGAATGACCGGAGGATTCAATTCATGTAAATATTGAACGCATTCTAAGATCTCTTTGAATATATGACACGAAATGTAAAACTCGATTGAATTCATGGGTTCTCCCGGTTGTCGACCAAATACTTGTGGTTTGTTTTGAAGAATATTATGCAGACTATCGGGACATAACTCCATTTGAATGTAATACACTTTTTCATCGTTCCATTGAAGCATATATTGGACACAATACTCTGATCTAACTTTTACCAATTTTTCAATTTCTTCGTTACATTCCAACAAATTTTGGTTATCTGTAAAAATATATTTTAATTCTGTACTCTTATAATAAATAAATGCTTTTAATTACTTTCAAATCTTATTTTCTTAACCGCATATTCTCGTCCATCATATTTACGTTTAACAACAAATACTTCCCCAAAAGCTCCCGAACCTAATGAACGCAACTCTTCGTACAAACGGTTGTATTCATTGACTTCGGAAACAACTATAAAAAATTAAATTCATTGATTCATTGATTTATTGAGTTTTGTTAAAATGTGATTCAAAAGTACTCAGAGGAGGGGTATAATTGAAAAGCTTAATATATCTGATGTTGGAAAGCAAATTAAGGATTATATATATAGCGTTTTCTACCGCTTTTTAATATTTAAAATTCATGAGACATTATTGATTTCAGTCATATATAATTATAGTTTATCTGTAAATCAAATATTTTACAATCGTAAATAACATTACTATTTTTTGTGTTTATAATAACCTATTCATTAGATATTATAACCTGTTTGATGTGAGTTAATAATCATTCATTTAAATAATTGATATATAAAGTAATTCAAATATTACAGTTTGTCAAAATATTTGATATATTAAAATCATATATTATGGTAATTGAAAAATATGGTATTGTTTTGAAATATCAATAACTTGTGTTACTATTGTTGCCAATTTTCAAAATGACAGTTTATAACTAATATTTTGATTTGATTTCATACACTTTCACTATTGCGTCACTGTTTGTGAACTGATTTGCAACGTTTGTGGCCAATCAAAATGTACTTCAAAAAAGGCAGGTGACCTATTTTATAACAGTATCATATATAGGCTACCAATTTTTATATTTGTCATTCATTTCGAGTAAAGTATCAAGTATTTTTAGCCTATATATAATCCTATATACTTTTAGCCTAAATATTTAATCCTAAATTTTCTTTCCAGCATCAGATATAATCAATTTAATTAATTATAACTTTTTCATAATTAAAATTAAAATGATTTGTTTAGATAGCTCAATTTTTGGAAAGTTCATCAAATTGACATAAAGAGACAATTGTAAAATGTACTAGTTAATCAAATTAAACTAATTCAATGTACGGACTCTATGAATGACACCTAAAACCAATTCCATACCAGTCTTTGATAACTCGTTTATAGAAGAAAATAATTTTTCCAAATAATCCAAACATTTTGCAATAAATTCTTCGCAATTCTTATAATTATATTCCTTATAATCACACAAATTAATGGTTTTATGAGTCATTTGAAACTTATTTGTGGAATAGTCGAAGAAATTTGTATAAATTGTTTCAATTATATTATCGTTTGGTTTGTCTGTAATATTATAAATTTTTCCCTTCATTATTGCCATCAATAAACCCAGCTTATTCTTTATAGACGTAATTATATTCATTTCTGTAATCCTCTTATCAGTATTTAATACTTTTGGTGACAATTGAAACAAATATTCGTTGTTTTCATTTCTATATTGTCCGCAAAAGTAAATGAATCCATCGTTTGATAAGAAGAAAGTTGTCAGACCTCCGGAACAGATAGTCTTAATACCAGTCATGTCTGCAATGAGTTGTGGTTTCCATATTTTATCCGATGACTTGTGTCCCAAATTATAGAAATCATTTTGACCCCAACTAAGCACTTGTCCCTCAGATGTGATGGCAAATGAAGAGTATAGACTGCAATAAATACTTTTAATTTCGTGATTGGGATTGAAATTGACTCGAAATGTTTCTCTATTTGGTATATCACTGTCTGGTCCACAACCCAACTGTCCGTATCTATTATAACCCCATCCATAGACACAGCCATCACTCGTGAGAAGCATTGTGTGATAATTACCACAACTTATTTGATTAATAGTTTTATTATCCATGTACTTCAGATCAAAAGGTACCGGTTCTAAGTATGAGTGATCCGCATTCTTGTGTGCCAAACCTAACTGTCCCACATCATTATTACCCCAACCATAGAAATAATCATCTTGAGTGAGGGCTAACACAAAGTTGTATCCATTGAAGAATTGTGTGATATTCTTGTGACACAATCTGTCGATCACTTGGGTTTCATTGACGTATAGTTTGTGACCCAATCCAAGAGATCCGTAATAATTAGATCCCAAACCGTAAACCATGTCATCATTTGTTACAAACAATGCATTATATCCTCTCTCGTCGTCGAAAACATGAAACAATTGAATCGATTGAATGACATTTTCTGTTCCAAATTTTACAGCAAAATATTTTGCGAAAAACTTATATTCATTTTGTTGAATGAGTTTTAGTGTGGAATCAAATGTGGGATCAGTTTTGAGACAATTCTCATGAATAGACCATAAGTTATATTCCGATAATACTTGTGAACACTCGGGTCGAGTGCTATGAATGGGAACACACATCGAGTCTATGATTTGATGGAATTGAATGAATTTGTCGTATATTTGATGTTTCGAGTAAATACTCAATTCCGGAGAACTGTAATCAAAAATAAGAATACATTTGAATGAATTAAGTTAATAAACTAAAAATCCAAATAATTACGTTAAATTATTCAAATTAAACAATTTGTGGGCAATGACTGCCAGGCTATAAATATCTGCTTTGGGTGTATATTTAGTTTGCAGTCTAACTTCCGGTGCCATGTATTGAAGAGTTCCTACTCCTGTGGTATGACTTCCAGATGACCTGGAGTGCAGTAACGCCAACCCAAAGTCAGCCACTTTTAAATACCTGCCATTCCTTACATTCTTCGCTACTAATATATTGTCGGGTTTCAGGTCTTTATGAATGATCTGTGGATTCAATTCATGTAAATATTGAACGCATTCTAAGATCTCTTTGAATATATGACACGAAATGTAAAACTCCATTGAATTCATGGGTTCTCCCGGTTGTCGACCAAATACTTGTGGTTTGTGTTGAAGAATATTATGCAGACTATGAGAACATAACTCCATTTGAATGTAATACACTTTTTCATCGTTCCATTGCCTCATATATTGTACACAATATTCTGACCTAACTTTTATCAATTTTATCATTTCTTCGTAACATTCCAACAAATTTTGGTTATCTGTAAAAATATATTTTAATACTGTACTCCTATAATAAATAAATGCAATACATTTAATTACCTTCAAATATAATTTTCTTAACCGCATATTCTCGTCCCTCATATTTATGTTTAACAACAAATATTTCCCCAAAAGCTCCCGAACCTAATGATTGCAAGTCTTCGTACAAACGTTTGTATTGACTCACATCGGAAACAACTATAAAACAAATTAAATTAATTAATTCATTCATTTATTCAGTTTTGTTAAAATGTCATTCAAATGTACTCAGAGGAGGGGTATAATTTAAAAGCTTACTATATAATAAATTTATTAATTATTACTTTTGAATAATTAAAATAAAAATTTGTTTCGAAAGCTGAATTGTTTGAAAGTTCATCAAATTGACACAAAGAGACAATTGTAAAATGTACTAGTTAATGAAATTAAACTAATTCAAGAACATTTTTAGAATAATATAGCATATTTGGTTTTACTGCAAAACTTAATGCAAGTTATTACTCAATTCAGATCAAATCAAATCAAATCAAACGCGCTTATCATGAACGGGAATAATAATACAATACTATCGATAACACTGTTTTAGTCGTGAATTCTGACTGAATGTACGGACTCTATGAATGACAGCTAAAACCAATTCATACCATTGTTTGATAACTCGTTTATAGAAGAAAATAATTTTTCCAAATAATCCAAACATTTTGCACGAAATTCGTCACAATTCCTATAATTATATTCCTTATATTCACACAAATTAATGGTTTTATGAGTCATTTGATCCTCATTTGTGAAACAGTCGAAGAAATTTGTATATTTTGTTTCAATTATATTATCGTTTTGTTTGTCTGTAATATTATATATTTTTCCATTCATTATTGCAGTAAATGCAGACAGATTATTCTTCAGTGACCTAATTTTATTCAGTCCTATAATCCTCTTATTAGTATTTAATACTTTTGGTGACAATTGTAACAAATATTCGTTGTTTTCATTTCTATATTGTCCACAAAAATAAATTAATCCATCGTTTGATAAGAAGTAAGTGGTGCCACCACCGGAACAGATAGTCTTAATACCAGTCATGTATCCAATGAGTTGTGGTTCCCATATATTATCCGATGAATTGTGTCCCAAATTACACCAATCATTTCGACCACAACTAAACACCTGTCCATTGGATGTGATGGCAAATGAAGAGTATTCACTGCAATAAATGCTTTTAATTTCGTGATTAGGATTGAAATTCACTCGAAATGTTTCTCTATTTTGTATATCACTGTCTGGTCCACAACCTAACTGTCCGAACATATTATCACCCCATCCATAGACACAACCATCACTCGTGAGAATCATTATGTGATAATAACCACAACTTATTTGATTAATAGACTTATTACCTATGAATTTGGGATCAAAAGGTACCGGTTCTGCGTATAAGTGATCCGAACTCTTATGTGCCATACCTAACTGTCCACAATCATTATAACCCCAACCATAGAGAACATTATGTCGAGTGAGTGCTAATACAAAGTCGTATCCATTGAAGAATTGTGTGATATTCTTGTGACACAATCTGTCGATCACTTGGATTTCATTGACGTATAGATTGTGTCCCAAACCAAGAGATCCCCAATAATTAGATCCCAAACCGTAAACCATGTCATCATTTGTTACAAACAATATATTATATCCTCTCTCGTCGTCGAAAACATGAAACAATTGAATCCATTTAATGACATATTCTGTTCCAAAATTTACAGCCAAATATTGTGCGAAAAACTTGTATTCATTTTGTTGAATGAGTTTTAGTGTGGAATCAAATGTGGGATCAGTTTTGAGACAATTCTCATGAATAGCCCATAAGTTATGTTCCCATAATACTTGTGAACACTTGGGTCGAGTGCTATGAATGGGAACACACATCGAGTCTATGATTTGATCCAATTTAATGAATTTTTCGTAAAATTTATATCCCGAGTAAATACTTAATTCCGGGGAACTGTAATCAAAAATATTAATATATTTTTATGAATTATGTAAATAAATTCAATAACATAATAATTACGTTAAATTATTCAAATTAAACAATTTGTGGGCAATGACTGCTAGGCTATAAATATCTGCTTTCGGTGTATATTTAGTTTGCAGTCTAACTTCCGGTGCCATGTATTGAAGAGTTCCTACTCCTGTGGTATGACTTCCAGATGACCTGGATTGGAATGACGCCAACCCAAAGTCAGCAACTTTTAAATACCTGCCATTTCTTACAGTCTTCGCCACTAATATATTGTCGGGTTTGAGGTCTCTATGAATGACCGGAGGATTCAATTCATGTAAATATTGAACGCATTCTAAGATCTCTTTGAATATATGACACGAAATGTAAAACTCGATTGAATTCATGGGTTCTTCCGGTTGTCGACCAAATACTTGTGGTTTATGTTGAAGAATATTCTCAAGACTATTGGAACACAACTCCGTTTGAATGTAATACACACCGTCTTCAGACCATTGACCCATATATTGAACACAATATTCTGACCTAACTTTTATCAAATTTTGCATTTCTTCGTAACATTCAAACAAATTTTGGTAATCTGTAGAAATACATTTTAATACTGTAATACATTAAATAATTGCGATACATTTAATTACCTTCATATTTTATTTTCTTAACCGCAAATTCTTGTCCATCAAATTTCTTTTTAGCAACAAATACTTCCCCAAAAGCTCCCGAACCTAATGAATGCAACTCTTCGAACAAATACTTGTATTCATTCACTTCGGAAACAACTATAAAACAAATTAAATTAATTAATTCATTCATTTATTCAGTTTTGTTAAAATGTCATTTAAAGGTACTCAGAGGAGGTGGTATAATTCAAAAGCTTACTATATAATAAATTGAATTAATTATTACTTTTTCATAATTAAAATTCAAATAATTTGTTTAGAAAGCTGAATTGTTTGAAAGTTCATCAAATTGACACAAAGAGACCATTGTAAAATGTACTAGTTAATGAAATTAAACTAATTCAAGAACATTTTTAGAATAATATTGCATATTTGGTTTTACTTACTGCAAAACTTAATGTAATTTATTACTTAATTGAGATCAAATCAAATCAAATCAAACTATACGCGCTTTATCATGAACTGGGGAATAATAATACAATACTATCGATAACACTGTGTTAGTCGTGAATTCTGACTGAATGTACGAACTCTATGAATGACAGCTAAAACCAATTCATACCATTGTTTGATAACTCGTTTATAGAAGAAAATAATTTTTCCAAAAAATCCAAACATTTTGCACGAAATTCTTCACAATTCCTATAATTATATTCCTTATATTCACACAAATTAATGGTTTTATGAGTCATTTGTAATTCATTTGTGAAACAGTCGAAGAAATTTGTATAATTTGTTTCAATTATATTATTTGTTGTACTATATATTTTCCCACTCGTTATAGCATATAACTTATACAAGTTGTTCTTATAGTCTATAATTATATTCATTTCTGTAAACCTCTTATTAGTATTTAATACTTTTGGTGATATTTGTAACAAATATTCGTTGTTTTCGTTCGTATATTGTCCGCAAAAATTAATGAATCCATCATTTGATAGGAAGTATGTGACACCACCAGCGGAACAGATAGTCTTAATCCCAGTCATGTCTGCAATGAGTTGTGGTTCCCATATATTATCCGATGAATTGTGTCCCAAATTATAGAAACTATTTCGTCCCCAACTATACACCTGTCCCTCAGATGTGATGCCAAATGAAGAGTAATAACAACAATAAATGCTCTTAATTTCGTGATTAGGATTGAAATTCACTCGATATGTGTCCCCTTTTCGTATATCACTGTCTGGTCCACAACCTAACTGTCCGTACATATTATCACCCCATACATAGACACAGCAATCACTCGTGAGAATCATTGTGTGAAAATTACCACAACTTATTAGACAAATAGTTTTATTATCAATGTACTTGAGATCAATAAGTTCTGGATCTACGTATAAGACATCATTCCTCATGGCCGCGATACCTAACTGTCCCTTTCCTTTACAACCCCAACCATAGAGACAGTTGTGTTGAGTGAGACCTAACACAAAGTCTAGTCCATTGAAGTATTGTGTGATATTCTTGTGACACAATCTGTCGATCACTTGGATTTCATTGACATATCGATTGTCACCCAAACCAAGAGATCCGTAATAATTAGATCCCAAACCGTAAACTATGTCATCATTTGTTACAAACAATACATTATAACCTCTCCTGTCGGTGAAAACATGAAACAATTGAATCGATTTAATCATATTTTCTTCACTTTTATGTCTATTTTCGTCGACAAGAGAGGTTATAATGTATTGTTT